CTGACAATTACAGTTTCTCGAGCTAAAAATTAGAGTTTTTGAGCTGAGAATTAGAGTTTTTTAATCTAAAAATCAGAGATTTTCGACCTGAAAATTAGGATTTTCGAACTGATAATCTGAGTTTTTGAGCTGAAAATTATAGTTTTTTGAGCTAAAAATTAGAGTTTTTGGGCTGAAATATAGGGGTTTTCGAGCTGAAAATTCGGGTTTTTTGAGGTTAAAACAAGAGTTTTTGAGTTGTAATTTGGAGTTTTTTGAGCTAAAAATTAGAATTTTTCAGCTAGAAATCAGAGTTTTTTGAGCTGAAAATTACAGTTTTTTGAGCTTAGAATTAGAGTTTTTTAGGCAAAAAGTTATGGCTTTTGAGCTGAAAATTAGAGATTTTGAGTTAAAAATTAGAGTTTTTCGAGCAAAAATTAGAGTTTTTGAGCTTAAAATTAGAGTTTTTGAGCTGAAACTTAGGGGTTTTTAAACCTAAAAATTTGAGTTGTTTGAGTTGAAAAATTAAGTTTTGGCTTCAAAATTGAAACTTTTGCCTGAAAAAAAAACAAGAATTTCTGGTCTAAAATCTAAATTTTTTTATTTAATTATTTCGAGTAAAAACTCTAAAATTTTCAGAGCCAACTCTCAATTTTGTACTGCAAATACACCTACAGTACCCCTCACCTGTTTAACTAAAGTACTGTAAATCGAGGAGAACGCCGCCCATGTAACAATTCCAAAAACGATACAAATCGTGGCAGCCACCACGATAAACACGTCCAGTTTACCTATTCGACCCATTTGTTTGGATTTTCTGGAAATCTTTATTAGAAGGGCAGCCCAATTTTTTCAAAATACAAAAAATTCAAAAAATTCCAATTAAAAGATTAAAAATCAATTGTGACCAACCGAGCGAGGAAAAACTCAAAAATCGGTGTGTAAACTTAAATATGCTGCCTATATGGTTGTGACTCCCTTATCAAAGACAACCCAACCCTCCTTCTCTTATTATCAGCAGCTAACTATATTGTCGCATGAAGACGACGAAGAGCACGGGCACACAGTGATAATGGAGAACACAGAGTATGAAATGATCGTGTAGGGCGAACTATACTACTAAATTTGTCTGCAATCTGACGTGATGGTGTCCCATAGGGATGTTTGCGTACTCCCCACTTCAACTGGGCGCGGGCGACGGGAGCCGCCGCCATCTCTACGCCCTCCCCCTCCATTCTCTCAGTAGACTAGATGGCGCAGTGGATTACACAGGCAAACCGCTGCGAACGAAATGCGGACGATTTGAGGGCCAAGAGCCCAATTTGACACTCATTTGGCACGTAAAACGGACTCTGGCGGTTTTACTGGAAATAGAGTCCCAAAAGCGGACGAAATGCGGGTCTGGGCCCAGCTCATCCGCAAATCAGACTCTTGCCATAACTGGCGGATGAAAAGAGGGTGAAACGCGTGTCAACGGCAAATGTGAATCCACTTGGAATTTTATTTACAAATTTTATTTTATTTATTATTCAACATTTTCTGAATTTTATCCCGATGATTAATTTGTTTCTGATCGATTTATAGGTTCGAGACAGTTGAAAAGTAAATTACTTTTATGTTTTCAGAAGTTAGAGCCTTGGAGTTCTGGAACACTCATACCGAACAACGAATACGAAGGCAAATTCTAGTCGGTGAGATTAATGGAAGTTTTTTTCTAAAACCAAATCAATTTTCCAGGTGGATTTAAATTTTGTGAGGTTCTAAACTCAAATCATCGTGATCGGAGCACAGTTTTTTTATGTGAGAACTTCTAATGTTTGCTTACTCACTCACAATTTTTTTTTCAGAAAGAAATATCGTCTATAACCAAGAGCACTGAAATTGAGTCAGACGGAGTAAAGAGTGATATAGATATAGGTGAGTGTAAATAAATTTTCAGTTCAAAAAACATTTCTAAAATTTTCAGATTTTCAATTCGGCTTCGAGAAGACGAAAAATTATTATTACGGACAAACCCTTGATTGGAAAACTCATCCGGCGGGCAAGACGCTTCTACAATTACGCCTAGACTGATAGCAACTACAATAACCACTGGGCCTGTTGATCGAATGACTAATGTTTTCTTGAATCATACATATGTATCTTGATATTAAATTTTCGTTTTTTTTTCAATGTAATTTTTAGCTCTACTTCAATAAATATCTTAGAATAAAAGCACTGTCTCATAATTCGTACCAGCAAAAAAACCTAGCCAGCTACAAATTTTTTGGGAGCCCCGGTTCGCCTGTAAAAAAAAACCGCCAGAGTGCGAAAAGCGGGTCGCATTTGATCCACTTTTGACGTCTTTTTTTGTTCCGTTTTGGCCCGCCATTTCGCCCGCGGCGTGTCCGTTTTTCGTCCGCAGCGGTTTGCCTGTGTACACTTTTGTCTTTGAGCAGACAGGTCGCAGGTTCGATTCCACTTGGGAGGAAATCTTTTTTGCTTTTTTTTCTGGGCAGTTTTGAGTACTTTTGAGCGGTTCAGAAACATTTTCGAGTGTTTTCCAGGGTAATTCACACAAAAAAATGACTACCCCGCAAAGTTTGAATAATTTTTTAATTTTTATGGTCTTCCTTCAGCATCTTTCTCCACCTCATCCTCTAAAGATTCTTCTGTATCCAAAAGCCGTTGGTACCCTCCTGGGAAGGATTTTTTCATTTGGACTGTCTTTGCGTATGGATAATCTTCACATCGTCTCCGTTACCTTCAGCCCACCCCAAGGAGAGCCCCCACCTGTCATCCCAAGAGGAGAACAACGACCTTTGGATAATCCCCCTTTATCGATTACACTCCAGAGTGTTCTCCCTGTGGTAAAGGGTCTCATTCTTCTCTACAAAACGTTTTTTTCTTTATCGTTTTTTCTCGTTATCATGGCACCCCAATCGTCAATTTCCAAAGTCCCAATTTGTCATCAATTCCAAACTTCCAAAAAATGCCGGTCCCCAATTTTCAAAGTCCCTCGTGGTCCTGCTCCAGGAACCTTGATCCGAAGACGAGAGGAAGAGACTGTCAGAAAATGTACTTTGCTTCTCATCAAGGGAGAAGATCTGGAAAAAGCTATCCAACAACTTTTGATGGTCAAATCGAAATATTCAGTGTTCGAAAAGTACGAAACGGAGAAGCATTTGGTGGAGAGCTGTGGAAAGGAGGAGGAATTGAAGATGATGTTTGGGATGCTGATGGGGAAGTTGGAACGACTCAAGAAGGTTTCGGAGAAGGAGGAGAAGGATCAAAAAGGATACTGAAGGTGTTTGAGGAGGAGGAAGAGAAGGGTAGAAGATGATGCTGAAGAAGGACAATTCGCGGACATCGAAGGTTTTTTTTGGTTAGTTTTTGTGTCACTTCTCTTTTTGATTTCCTTTTTTTTTACTTTTTTAAAATTTTCAATAAATTTTCGACACAATTTCATTTTTTTATTCAAACCCATAATTCAATCATTGAATTTGCTCCGACTTCCAAACTGGCTCCCTCCACAGTATAAACCTTACCCTAAATCCCTGGAAATCCCTCGAAGATGTTTCTAAACCCCTCGATAATATTCACAACTGCCCAGGAAAAAAAGCAAAAAAGATTTCCCCCAGGTGGAATCGAACCCGTGACCTGTCTGATGAAGGGCAAAAGCGTAACCAATTGCGCGATCTATCAAACTGAGAGAGGAAGAGGGGAGGGCGTAGAGATGGCGACGGCGCCCATCGCCCGCGGCCAGGGGGCTTGAGGAGTACGCAAACACCATTATGGGACACCAGCACGTTAGATTGCGGACTTTTTAGGAAAAAACCGTACTTATTCTTTATTAGTATATTCTTAGTACACTTTACCCACAACAATACATCAACAATTAGTCATCTTTTTTCCTTTTTTTGCAAAAAACCATCGACCAAAAGATCAAGTTTCCCCTAATTGAAAATGATGACAATTATTGTTTTTCCTTTTATTAGACACTGAGAGACTACCCTGTGTCCCTTTAAATCAGCTTATTCTCTCTTGTCCGCCAGATCAACAATAACCCGTTTCCTTTCTCATTCTCTAGTTGGGGGAATTCTATTTATATATATATTTTTTGTACTTTCCTATTTTTTTCATTCCAAATTCATTATTATGACTGAAAACCCAGAAAACAGTGGCTCAAAACTGGTTAAATGGTGTAAAAAGTACTTGTTGGAGGGTGAGTTTTTTAAGCAGGGGTCACCTTAACTTTAAAGGCGCATAACTCAAAAAGGGGCGGAGCTAGACAAAAGTTGCCAATTACAAACTTGTAGAGTGTACAATTCTGAACAAGTTAGTAGTTGACAACTTTTTTCTAGCTCCGCCCCTTCCTGAGTTGCGCGTCTTCAAAGTAGCACCTCCCCTTTATAATGGGGGCACCTTAACTTTGAAAGCGCATAACTCAAAAAGGGGCGGAGCTAGAAAAAAAGTTGTCAACAGAAAAGGTGCTCCAAATTTTCTGCTCTATAACTTTGTAGTTAACAACTTTTTGGCGTCTTCACTCCCTGGTCTATTCCGACGGTTGGAACTCAATTTTCTCTTTTTTTAGGCCAACAACTCGACGAAAAACATGCTGAAAAAGTGCAAAACTTCCCGGAAAATCCGACGATCGCCGATTATTTGTTGATCAAGTATCGGAAATTTGTGGCGGTTTTGATACCGTTTTGTTTTGTTCAGGTGAGTTCAAACTACAAAGTCTACAAAGACTACAAAATTTTCCAGATCCTTTGGTGGTGCACCGCATTTCGATATGACTTTTTCCAACTGTACGCGAATTACTGGCACATGCCGGTCACCATGATATTTGGAGCCCTGGTAGCTGGAATGACCGCAGAAGGAGCCGGTGCAGTGGCCTTCCCCGTTATGACACTGGTCCTTCACTTGGATCCAACGATTGCCAGGGATTTCTCGTTGATGGGTCAGAGTATAGGTTTGTAGTTTGTAGTTCGAGCTGAAATGTCGTAAAGTATGATGAAAAAAAAAAACAAAAAATATTTCCACCCCGGGGGAATCGAACCCGCGACCCTTCGGCTGAAAGACAAAAGCGTAACCAGTTAGGCCAAAGCGCGCAGTGAGAAAGAAGGGGGGCGTACGGTACGACCCCAAGTCTGCAAACACCACCACGCCAGATTGCGTACATCAGTTTTTTCAGGAATGATGTCCTCCTTGGTGTGTGTCATCTTTATGAAGGTGAAATTCGAGGCGATGGCTGTGATATTCGGGATAGTTGGAGCGGTTCCTGGATTCATTTTTGGTGTCCATTTTGTAAGTTTTTATTGATTTTATTGCAGTTTTTGAGCCAAATAGTAAGGGGAAATGCAAATACGCTCTATTGAGAACGGAGGCGGTGTTTTTGTTAAATTGCACAGAATAATTTTTTTGAGCATTTCGACTATAACTCGGCTCAAAGTGGAGACCTAGAGACGACTTTTGGATCAAATCGTGTAAAATCTAATAGCGCACCTGGGCATTTGGAATTTGATACTTAGCATAAAAATGACTCCGTTGGCCTAACTTTTCCAAAATTTATTTTTCTAGGCCATCATTCCATTTTTAGACTTATCCTATTCCGAATAACCTCCAGATCACTTCCCATTTTTAGAACTCAAAAATATTGGTTTTGAGCCGAGTTATGCTTAATTTTGTGAAATTGCTCAGAATAAACTTTTTATTTTTATTTTTTACTCGGCTCAAAATGAAGGTTTAGGGATGGTTTTTGGACCAATTTGAGAGGAATTTGAAAGCGGATTCTGCAAGACAAAACAAACACCCTGCGCCTTAAGAAGGGTCTACTATTAAGCTCCGCCTCCATTCTCAATAGAGCGCATTTGCATTACTCATGATTTTCTCGTTTATGATCACGAAGTTTTAAATTGGGGTCCTGGCCAAAAGAAAGCTCCCTGACCCAAATTTGGCTCAAAACACCCCCCAATCAACCCATTTTTCAGTTCGACCCCCTCTTCACCGGTGCCCAAAAAAAGATGATGTTCGTATCAATCTGGACCGCCTTTGCTTTCGCCCTTGGTCTTCTAAATGCTCAAAAAAAGCGTCCAACCTTTGTGAAAATTCCAGAATTTTGTGCCTGGAAAGCCCTGATTCTTTTTCTAACCGGAGTGATTGGTGGCGTTTTTGACGCGTTTGCTGGAAGTGGCATCGATATTTGTATGTTTTCGATAGTGACCCTTTTGTTTCGGGTCAGTGAGAAGACCGCTACACCAACTACGATGATTTTAAAAGGTAAGTGGGCGGGGCTGGGGGAGGGGTGGGATGAAAGGGGCGGAGCTTAGGGTGTTCCCATAAGGGGCGTGGCTTAGACTGCCTATGGTTTAGTAAAGAAAGTGGGTAGAGCCTGGGATGGTTCAAAAATGGGCGGAGCTTAACTCAACTCCCACAGAAGTTACGGGCGTGACTTTAAGGAAGGGATTAACTGTGGCAACAACAAAAAATAGGCGGAGCCAAAAATAGGGCGGGGCTTGAAATTTCTGTTTTCAGGGGTGGTATCCGTGTTCGGATTCTGGTATCGTGGAGTCATGATGGGAGATATTTCGGAAACTGCATGGAAGTATTTCGCTGTGACGATTCCGGTGGTGGCTACTATGGGTAAGTTTTCCGCAGTCCCACTGGTCCAATTTCTATGAAATACAGACAGCTCGATAGGGAATTTTTTGTAGGTCTTGCTCGTCTTGTTGGTTTTTTGACATTTAAAATCCGAAGCATTCGGGCACTGTTACTCTAGATACTGTAGTAGAAGCTAACCTCCTTCTGTTTGTCGCTGTGCTCCTCAATCTTTCCGAAACATGAACATTTTAAATTCCCGCCACAATTTTCGGATACTTTGAATTCCCGCCAAAATTGTTGAATTTTCGAATTTTCGAGGTTAGCGTTTTCAAAAGTTGAGATTTTCAGAAATTTTTTTCTGACGAACGGGTTTTGCTGGAAATAGATTCTCACTTAGGATGTTTGAAATAAGCCGTTCGTTAGCCGGAAATAAGCCGTTTTTTACCGCCACCCATTCTTCATTGAAAAAAACGAAAAAATTCGAAAAAAATCCCAAAAAATTCCGAAAAGTCATTTTTCGATTTTTTTTCGCCCTCGAATTGTTCGGACCAATACTTTCGAAAAAAAAATTTTCGATTTTTTTCGGAAATTATTTTTCGCACAGCTCTGATGGTGACCTAGCAAACGAAATTCTGAGAAAGTTAGGCCAAAAACCCGTAGAGCAGTGAGTTTCCCGTAACCAAATGCGCCTTCGAATTCTATACAATTTGGTCTGAAAACCAATTTGAAATCTTCACCTTTGGCCGAGTTATAGTCGGAAATACCTGAAAAACACGTATTCTGAGCAATTTTACAAAATTGAGCATAACTCGGCTGAAATTTGAAATTTTAGTGTTCTGAAAACTGAAAAATGATTGGGAAGTCACCAATTTGTCCCCCTTGTTCTCATTTTCGTTCAGCACCAATTGGCTCATTCCTGGGCTCTCATCTCCATCGACAAGTCATCGCCGGCCTCATTTATGTGTTAGAATTGGCATCTTTGATTGGTTTTTTGCTGACGGGCCCGTCCTGGTGGCTCATCGCCGTGGCAGGTAGTACAATGATGATTGATTTTAGAAATTTTTATTCCTTATTTCCAACTTTCCAGTGACAATAATCCTGTTTGGTTTCGGGTTCTTCACCCTCATTGCCAAGTCCGGGGAGATTCTGATGAGGCGGTTGGAGGAAGATGAAAAAATGGGAAAGAGATGGAGAAATCTCAGAATTTTGAGATGATCACCTGAATTAATTATGTGCTTTTTCGTAATTTATTTATAAGTTTTTTACGAGTTTTCTAGAATTTTTTTTTCATTTGGATGAAACTTTTTCCGGATTTTTTAAAGTTTCTTCAGGATTTTTTTCAACCGAAAATCGGATTTGCGGGTTTTCGATATTTTGGCAAAAAAATTTTCCAGCAGAAAATTCAAAAACTTTTTCGCTATTTTTCGCCGAAAATTGGGCAAAAATGGTGGCCTCGTGTAGTCTGCGTGGACAATATTTAAAAAAAAACATTTTTTTTGTGTTTTTCAACGCTTCTACCGGGTTTTCATCAGTTTTTTTTCGAAAAAAATGAAAAATGTTTACGAAAAACATTTGAAGAGCTTTTTCCGGAATTTTCGTTCCAAAAAAAAATGAGAAAAAAAAATGTTTTTTTCGAAAATTTTTAAGTTGAAAATTTTGGAAGTTTGTGATGGAATCAATGGATTTTAAAGCGGGATTCCAGATGTTTGGAGCCGAAAAAATTGGGGTTTTCCATACTTGTGAAATTTCGGTCCAGATACCCGGATTCAAAAAATTTTAAATTTTTTCTTTTTTTTCAAAGTCTGCACTTTTTCAGAAAATTTTACATTCTTTAATTCATCAAAATAGTGAAAAATGCTTCAAGACCACAAACTATTGTTTTTATGCCCAATATAATTCTGGAGTACAAAATTGAATGAATTTTCTCGATTTTTCAGGGCCGGATCAGGTCGGAAATTTGTGGGAAAACCCGGAAAAAAAATTAGCGGTTTTGAGCTTGGGAGAACAGTCTTGGTGGGTGACAGCTGAAAATTTTAATGCTGAATTATAGTTTTTTTTTCAAAGGGCCCAACAGGCTTGCCCGGGAAAAGCTTTCTGAAAAAATTCCGGAACTTTTTCCAAACATTTTTTTCGGATCACGGTAAAAACGGCAGCTTACCGATTTTTCTGTAATTTTTTCCAGAATATTTCCTGGAAGATTTCCGGGCAATTATCCCGGAGAGGTTCAGAAAACTCCAAAAATCAAAATTCCCACTTCCCGATATCTAGTTGTGACGAAAACTTTTTTCCAGACAATAACTCTCAAGTTTCGTCATCCCTCTTGAAAAAATAAAAATATTTCTCCACTTACCACTTCCCTTTTTTGTTGTTTTACCCCTGTTTTCCCACGTACTTTACCTAAAAGTACCCACCCAAACTACTTCAGAAGGGCGGCCTACTACTAATCCCTTACGTAGTTTCTCAAGTTTTTTTTTTCAAAGTTTTGTGAGTTTTTTGTGTCACATCCCGGGGAGCTTATGGACTATACTAGTAGAATTTGTCGTCATAACTTGCGAAAAATGTTGACGACGACATGATCCCCCATCCCATTCTATTCAAAATCTTCGCCCCTCTTCTTTTTTGACACTAAACTAATTTTGGGGCTGGAGAAGGGACGGGGGGAGGAGGGTCAAGTCTCTTCTCCAGCCCCCAAGAAGATTTTATATCCGCATCAAGAAAACTAGAAGGATTGTTCGGTTTTTTTCGGGGTTTTTATTGAATTTGGATTTTAGCAAAAAAACTTTTTTTTTGAGAACTGGTAAGATTTTTTATTCCGTTTTCTGAGTTTTCCAGGGTTTCAGATTGGATGAAAACTCACAGTTTTTAGTCCGAATCGGGTGATTCTTAAGTTTTTGAGAAAAAAAACCCTGATTTCGGCTACAAAAATCTAGAAATTTGGCTCAAAACCCCCTAGTTTTTAGCACAGAAAACTTTAATTTTCAGGTCAAAAAACTCTTTTTTTTAGCACAGAAAACTCTAATTTTCAGCAAAAAAAAACTTCGATTTCTAGCCCGAAAAGCTCTTTTTTTCAGCTCAAAAACTCTAATTTTTAGCTGGAAAAACCACAGTGTTCAGCTCAAAAACTCAAAATTTAGGCCAGAAAACCTCTATTTTTCAGCTCAAAAACTCTCATTTTTAGCTCAAAAAACTGCAATTTCAGCTCGAAAATATCTAATTTTCAGCTCGAAAAACTGTAATTTTTAACCCAAAAAACTCTAATTTTCAGCTCAAAAACTCTAATTTTTAGCTCAAAAAACTCTAATTTCAGCTGAAATTCTCTAATTCTAAGCTCAGAAGCTCCAATTTTCAGCTCAAAAACCCCAAGTTTTGGCTCAAAACCCCTAGTTTTTAGCACAGAAAACTCCAATTTTCAGCTCAAAAAACTCAAACTTTTAGCTCGAAAAACTCTAATTTTTAGCTCAAAAACTCTAATTTTAGCTCAAGAAACTCTGATTTTCAGCTCAAAAAACTA